ATGATAGAGAAGAAACACGAAGGAAATTGGTGGCGATGACGTTTGTCATAGTCAGAGAAAAACGATGATGGAGGGGAGCTGGTGACGCTGGCGCCAAAGTTGAGTCAACAGGTACCTGCGTTCCACTCATATTCACCTTCGATCAGAAACGTACGGTCGTCTTCCATCATATTCTCCTTCAAAACCGTTTTTCCCACAGATTAGGGTTCGGTTTTGGTTTTAACAAACATCTCAGGTACCGCTACCCCGTTTTCCCTTTTTCAATTTCGATTCGTTTTTTGTGTTTCTTATACTTCTGCCTCCTCAATCTCCCAATCAGTTGTTTACACATTTCATTACACCCACCAAACCTCACCGCCGATGCCCTCCAAACAACCTGCTCTGTCGCCTTCTTGCATAACCCAATTCGAAACAGAGGAGATATTGAAGATGGGTTCCAATCAACCGCCGGCAACTGCTGTACTTCACCCGTATGTTCTTCTCGGGAAGCACATCAATGTCGTGGATCGACAAATCCACTCACGTCTACCTCGCCCGTTAAGCGAAGGTAACACATACAGTTCAAATTATACAATTATGTTGTTAAATAACTTCAATTTCCTTCAAATTAGGGTTTAAAATCGACGAATTTGACTTTTTGTTCCCGTTGTTTCTGTTGCATGTGATGGTTTCAGATAAGATATTGTTACATTTAGTTATTTTTAAATCAAATTTATTCTGTTTTTAACTAGATGTGGTAAATAATTAAAATTTCTGTTTTACATTTTAATTTATTACTTTTTTACCATCCAATATAAAAAGTAAATTGATTACAGGCTATGGTGGTGTTTGTTTGTTCATACAACTGAAAAGAAGTGATAATTCGTTGTTTGCATGTTTACAGAGATTTTTGTGTAGTTCTTTGACCAGTGGTGGTGAACATGCTTCGGTTGGATATGAAGCAGGTTCTATTTACTAATCTTGATTGTCAATTTCTAATTTCCTTAAAATGCTATGTGAAATTTGAAGTAACAAATGGGTTTGACCTATGAGAAACCTTCTTTGATCTACCTTCAATCATGAACAAACTGACTGGGCACACAAAAGATGTCATGGGTTTGATCAACTGGTACTGGCTCTTTAGTCTTTCCTTTAATATCTTTTGATT